GGTCTCAGAGCCACGCTCGGCTCAAGAAGGTTCTGCTTGTCCTGCTCTGGGAAGGGATGCAGCTTGTTGCTGGGCCATCGCTGCCCTGCCCTGCCCTGCACTGTCTGCAGGAGCACTCATGGCCAAGGGGTGGACATGGAGGAGGTGAGGAATGCCATCACCACAGCAGAAATGCCATCAGAGTGAGGTCACAGCCCAGATAAGTGATTCCAGAATAGGACGCGGAGACATGAAAGGAATGGAAGCCATCAAACTGAATCTGTACGGGGAAACCACTGCTGCTCTTCTCTTCTGTGCCAGGAGAAGGGAGAAACAGGGGCCGTTGGTGCACTCCCAATGGTTTCTAGGAGACATTACCAATCCTTTCCACTACTGATTTGCTCTCTCAATCCATCAGAACATTTGCAGGCTGCAGCACACGGCTGATGCTGAGGTAGCCGTGCTTGTCCAGTTCAGAGGTGCAAGGCACACGTCACTGCCAGGACCTGCAGACACCAGGGAGGCTGCACACAGACTGGAACGTACAACAGAGAGAACATAAGAAAGGAGAACCCAGCTCAGCAGGGTGCTGTGACAGGAGCAGGGCAGATGGATTCCGACTAACAGAGAGGAGAATTTAGGCTGGATGTAAGGTGCAAAGGCTTTGCACTGAGGGCAGTGAGGCACCGCTCAGTTGCACAGAGAGGCGTTGCTGCCCATCCCTGCAGACACCCAGGGCAGGGGATGGGGCTCTGAGCACTGGTGGAGCTGTGGGGGTCCCTGCTTATTGCAGACCAGGTGGCCTTCGGAGGGCTCTTCCTTTCAGGGCACAGAAATCCCCACTTGTGACTCCCTCGTGTTTTGCCTCTTTCAGGGAAGGCCCATCCAGATGGCTGCTGAGCGCTGACTTGTCGTAATCTCTCTTCCTGGTCAATTAATCCCCCACGACTGAATAAAAGAAAATAATCCTCAATTGTCTGTTGCTCCCAATTCTTTTGCTTCCCAGCTGTGCCACGTAGAATGGGGGCTCTTAATTTTATAGAGTTAATTTCAAAACCACTTTAATCTCTTCCCTTTACATGGTTCATCAGGGAAGTCAATTCCCCTTGCGACCGCCTCGCTCCGCCAAGAACAATCCTGGAGGATGCAGCTCCTACGGCACACTGGATTACACTCGCTGAGCTCCGTGCTGCCTTCCTCATCCTCAGGTCCCCAGGGAAGGCTCTCGTTGCTCTCCGAGACCTTAGGTGCACCCAGCAGATCCCTGCTCCCATGCAGGCTCTGCTTCCTCCCTTCCACAGCTGCCTCAGATGGGAGGTGGGAAGGCGCCCCGAGCCGCCTTCCCCTGTTCCAAGGACCCCGCAGCCATCATTTCTTACGGGCAATGCACTTGTTAGGCTCTGAGCTCTGAAACGCTGCTTCCCCGGAGGCCGGTTCCACAAAAGGAAAGACTTTTTTTTCCCCAGTACACAGCCTACTATCTTCTCGTGCTCTGAAATACATCCCTCCACGCATTCGTAGCTTTCTTTTCACCTTACGAAGCAAAAGAAAAAGGAGTAAATCACATCCCTACCCCACCCCAAAGCTGCCGCTCAGCCTCGTAATGCTGCTCCCTGCTCCGCTGTGCAGGAGACCCATTCAAACCTGTGACTGCTTCAAAGACTCCTCCCGAAATCTGAAGTCACCCGTGTGCAATTTTCTCCAGGACTTTTAAGCTGTTCCTCAAACGCTGTCATTATGTTAATCTTCTCCCACGTCTGAGACCTCCAGTGAAGGCAGAGATGATGGAATAAGCGCTCCTGCAAATTGTGCTCGTGTTTGCTGCACCTTGGGTACTTCTTGATCTCTGCTTCAAAGGGATCCCTCGGTTCAAGTGTTTAATTGCAGTGGTTTCACGCCGACGGGCAGCAGCCCCAGCACATCACTCTCTCAAGGAACAGGGAGGGAGCACACGATGGAAAGGCTCCTGGGCTGTGCTAAAGGCAGGGCAATCACTCACCAGTTCCCATCACTCGGCCTAAGGGGGATTGGTGCAACTGAATGCCTTCTGCTAGCGGGCCGGAGCAGCAAGAAATGAAAGCAAACTAAAAAATCAGAACCATTCAGGTTGGAAAAGAGCTCTGAGACCCCCAGCACGGCTCCAACCATCCCACTGTGCCCACTGACCACGTCCCCAAGCACCCCATCCCTGTGCTCACCAAACACCCCCAGTCCTGGGGACTCCCCACCGCCCCGGGGCAGCTGTGCAGTGCTGACTGCTCTTTCAGAGAAGAAATTTCCCCCCATCCACTCTCTTCCACCCTCCTCTCATCGAGCAGCGCAGAGGAATGGAGTTTGCAAAGAAGGGGGACAGATACCCACGTACCCTATTTATTAAGGCGATTCTAAAGCCCTCACACTGCGGACACCACTCTGCTTCCCCTCGAATCCATTGCCACGCACCCAGAGCTCCACTCCCTGTGCCCAGGGCCACTCTGCAGCCCCAGCTGCCAATGGGACTGTGCTCAGCTGGAGCCACGTCGAGAGCCTTGGCGTGGAGCACAGGCACAGCCCCAACGTGGGAGCACGGAGCTCCGGCCTCAGGGTGGCTTTTGGTGACAGAGCAGCTCCACGGAGCAGCTGCTCCCACAGCGCTCACCTCCACGGCTTCAGATGGGGCCACGGCCATCAGCACTGCGTGGATGCAAGGAAGGCAACAGCAGCAGCCCGACCTTGGCTTTCAGAGTGGCAAGGCTGTGTTTTATTCCTGCTTTCAGTGAATGGGAGGCTTGCATGCTCTAACAAACTTCTTCATTTCTTATTAGCACGCTCTGGGGCAGCAGGAGCAGCAGATGTGTGTCCCCAGTGCTCAGCACCACCCCTGCCCCACCGCCAACACTCCCAGCCCCATCTGCACGCCAGAGGAATGTGAGCCCTGAGTTACACCCTGAGTTACACACCAGGGGAACAGAAGTCTGTCAGTGCTATGAAACACAAATACATCGCCTCTGGCTCTGAGCGATGAAGCGCTGCAGGCAGGGTGAGAGGCTGGGGAGATGCAGCAGCAACCTGCTTGCTTGGTTCTCCCTCTGCACCACGCACTGCTGCAGGGCACGACGCTGCCCTGAGGGATGTCAGCACGACCCGGAGCAGCTGTGCTCGTGCTCTGATGCTGTACAACTATGCTCCACATTACGGGGCTGAAGATGAAACACTTCAGTCTGTTTGAACGACCCCACAAGATCTGCCTAAACCTTCCAAAGCCAAAGGCAGCCCTGTGTCCCGCCAGGGTTAGGAGTGCAGCCTGCAAACAGCCATTCTCAGCTGGCCCAGAGGATGCTTTGAGCCCTCCTGACACGGAGCCCTGGGGAATGTGAAGATGAAAAGATACATTCTCGTGGCTAACTGTGCAGATAAGACATGTCTACACAAAACTCCCCCCCACCCCAGCTGATGCTGGAGAAACAGGGCCATGATGGGCAAAACAGCCACCGCCAGAACAATCCATGCATCTTGCCCCCATTTTGGCCAAGTTTCAGCCTATTCAGCCTCACCCTTTACGGGAGACACTTCGCCACCAGGAGCACCTGTTAGTTTGCTCTGCTGACTTAGTTTTCTCCTGGTGAATTATCTTTCAAGTCTGAAAGATCAAAACTGGACGCAGGTTCCAGCCGGTGTGCATAGCGCAGATTAACACCAACCATCAACTGTTTTCACCTTTGTTTTGTTCCTTTTTCCTTTCCCAACAATTGCACTTTGATGTCACAGTGAAGTCAAGACTTCATTCCTAAGCCATTACCAAGAGCTGAAAAACCTTACATGGGTGACAGCAGCTCAGAGCACTTCTTTGGCTGCTGTCTTTCACCATGGCCAAAGAAATGCTCCTATTATCACACTGGTTAATGACCCAGCTTGGTGCAATCTCATCCATCCACTCTGGTCTTGCTCAACAAAGGCAACTTTGAATCATCTGCAAATTTTGACCTATTTCCTGCCCTTTTCAAGACCCAGAACAAACAGTGGTCCCAGTGCAGGCCCTCAGGGGGTTCCATGGGGCGTCTGGTCGCCATGGGAATCCGTGCTTTTCCCTCCCTGTTTTGATTCTTTGCTGTTTTCTGAGTCATAGCGGCACTTTCTCTTTTGTCCCATGATCAGCTAAGAATATAAACAGCCCCAAAGAAGCATGTCACAGGATTTCTGAAAATCCAAACAAGTTACGCCCATAACTCGGAGTAAAAAATGTTCAGAGCTACGGAGACAGATTTGGGATAAGCAGCTCAGTGATAGAGAATGCATTCAGTGCCTTGTTGGCAAGCTCAAAGGCTTGAGGAGAGCTTAGCATAATGAATTGTCACCACTTGCTCCTTCCGTGTCACTCACACTTATTTCATGTGCAATAATGCCCGTCCAGTTACATTAACGACCAACAGCTTTGAACAGCACCGAAGCCCGACTGCAAGCAAGGACTCCACAGAGCAGCCCCACTTTCACCCCTCAGGTGCCCCACACAGAAGCCCCGTGTCAGCAGCACGTTCCTGGGCCCAAAGAGGAACCCTGCTCTTGCACAGGACTGCTAGGGTCCAGGCACAGTGCAGCAGCAGCATCTCCCTGCTGCCAGGATGCATCCTGTGCTCCTCCTGCACCAGCTCTGACTGCCTGCAGTTCGCCATAGCAAAGCTGCTTCCATCAATGCCGTGAAGCAGAGCATCCAGATCACAGCCCCGAGTGCACAGAACACGCAGTGAACACCCAGCAGCACCCCTCCCTTCAGCACCCAACGCATCTCCTCCATTTCCTGAGCGCACCAAAACGTTCCCAGCACATTTTTCTCCTCCAGCGAGACACGAACCAGACGCAGCGCCCTGCTCTGTGCCCACGTCTCACCCCAGTGAGCCACATCCAACAGCTGAGGCTGTGACTGGATTGACTGGAAGCAGCAAAGCTCCCTTCCTGTTAAGTCCGCGTGGCACAGGGTGCTGAGCCAGCAGGACGCTCCGCCCGTGAAAATGAATCTCTTTGTAACCGCAAAGCCAAGCGCTTACCTGTGAGAGGTGAAATTGTCGTAAGAGCCCACAGTGTAATGTCGGAAGAGACGCTTTGTTCTGTCTTCTCTGGTTTCTACAAGAAAAAAGACACAGTGCAGAGCTGAGAGCTAACAGAGCAGTGGTCAGTGTCTGCTTCCTCTGTGCGTGTACAGAGTGAACGCATTCTCATGCAAGCACCAAGTGGAAAACAAGCCATAATCTGCGTGCAGACGCGGCCCCACGCAGGGCTGTGCGCAGTTCCAAGTGCACGGCAGCTTCTGTGAACAGCAGATCTCTCTCCCAGCACTCCTAAGCCTGCAGATTTCACTGCACCAAAGCATCAAATTGCATCAAAACTCCAAAGCAGTGCCATGGAGAACCGACGCCTGCAAGGCCAAGGTGTGTCCTGTGTCCCAGATGAATCCCCCCTGCCCTTCGGCCACTTGAATCCTGCCAGTCTCAGGGAATTTGGATGCAAATCCCACATAAGAGATGGAAACAGCTCCCATCCTCCTCACCAGGGGGTCAACGGATCCAATGGGTGCGTAGAAGCCGTGAGAAAGGGGAGGAAGGAACCCAAAGACTTCTGCTACCCCTTGCATGTGAACAGCAGCGCCATCCCCAGCAGCTCCATGGCCCAAGGCACTGTGTCCCCTGCTGGGAGTAACCATCCTTCCTAACACAGAAGGAACCGACATCACGCTACCAAAAGTGAATTTATTTGCATGGCCCGGGGTTAATACAACAAACAGCCTACAGGAAGCACTGGAGGCCTCGCAATGAACTGGGCTGAGTGATGCTGAACCACCTCATCCACGCCTGCAACAGGGTGATGGGACACCAAACCATCTGATGCTGCTGAGCAGGGCGGTTAGAAGGGGTGAAAAGAAAGGAGAGGGCATGGATAGTGGAGCATGGATGAGACTCAATTTCCTCTTTGGCTGGGACACAAGCTGTGTGCAGCCAAAGCAAAACAAACGTTTGCTTTTTCCTGCTTTGAAATCCAAAATGACGACTGCTACCGAGAAGAGGCTGCAACAGTACAGGTAGGAGGCAGAGCTGCTGGAAAGGAGCTCTGTAGAGAAGGACCCGGGGGTCCTGGAAGCTCACAGCTGACAAAGAGCCAATCACAAGGTGGCCAAAAGGCCAACGGGACCCCGGGCTGCATTGCACAGAGCACGGCCAGCAGCGCAGGGAGGTGCTGCTCCCCTCTGCTCTGCAACAGGGGGGCACAGCTGGAGCTCTGGGTCAGGAGGAGGGGGCCGGGCTCTGTTTGGTGACAGAACAAGGGGCAGCGGGCACAGAACGGAGCCTGGGGAGCCCCGTGTGAGCGTGAGGGAGACCTTGGGGCTGTGGGGGCACCGCTGCCCACCGAGGTAGGAGGGGGATCCCCTCTGCAGGGATCCAAACCCAGCTGGACGCTGTGCAGCTGGGTGGGGGGAGCTGCAGGGTCCTTTCCAGCCCTGCAGCTCTGGGTTCTGCTGTCGCTGCCAACCAGATGAGGTTGTTTTAAGCTTTCAAACCTTTTTTTTCTGCTCTCATGCTCCCAGGAACTGCCGCTGCTGTCCCAGCACTCCGTCCTGCTGGGGGCTGAGCCCCCCCCCCACACACACCTCCACCCCACAAGGGAAGGCTGCGTAACAGTTAACAACTCACTTCACCATAAAACATAAAAACTAATTCGCTAACGGCAGCTCTGCCTTTTTGGGGGATTTTTCCTTTCCCACATCCTCCCGCGTTCTGCTCTTTCTTTTTCCCAGACACCGAAGGGCTCTCCCAGAGCATTCGCCACAACGGACTCTCCTTCTTCCATCGCGGTGTGCGAGCCGAGCGTTCGCTGTGCCGCTCCCAAACCCACAGACGTCGCCACAAGGCCGCATCCGTCGCTTCTCCGCGATGCCGCAGCGCTGCGGTGGAGGTGCGCGAGCCGAGCGGCGCACTGCAGGTGCTGCCGCCAGGGGGAGCCCGCGCTCCACAGCGGAGAAGGCAGCGCCGGGAGCGGGGCCGCGGGGCGGTCAGGACCTGCAGGCCCCGAGCAGGCCTCGTTTGGCCCCCCAGGTCAACAGCAGGCCTCGTTTGGTCCCGCAGGCCCCGAGCAGGCCCCCATTTGGCCCCGCAGGTCCCGAGTAGGCCTCGTTTGGCCCCACAGGCCCTCAGCAGGCTTTGTTTGGCCCTGCAGGTCCTGAGCAGGCCTCGTTCGGCCCCACAGACCCTTAACAGGCTTCGTTTGCCCTAAAGGCCCTCAACAGGACTCGTTTGGCCCCGCAGGTCAAAAGCAGGACTCATTTGGCCCCGCAGGTCAAAAGCAGGCCTCGTTTGGCCCCGCAGGCCCCAAGCAGGCCTCGTTTGGTCCAACAGGTGAAGAGTAGGCCTCGTTCGGCCCCACAGACCCTTAACAGGCTTCGTTTGGCCCTGCAGGCCCTCAACAGGCCTCGTTTGGCCCCGCAGGCCCAGAGCAGGCCAAAGCTCTCAGAGCAGCCCCTCTGCTGTTTACCTGCTGGGTCCTCCAGACAGGTGATGTTCCACCAAGCCCCGTCCTGGGGGTCCTGGGAGAAACTGTCTCTAAGAAGCGAGGAATTAACCTTCCTGAGGAAAAGACATGCTGTGCCAAGAAGTAGAGACGATAAGGAGCGGTTGGTGCGGTGATGGGAGGCGAGGTGCTGCCAGACAGCTACAGAAGGAGCTGACCCCTTCACCTGGGGCTGAAAGCACTCCCTCCCCATCCTGCCCAGCCGCAGAAGGGTTGCAGCTCTTGGCTCTGGACGGAGGGACCTCAACACCCCTGAGGCACCAGGACAGCACAGCGAGGTTGTAAGGGGAGGGGCAGCCCCGGCTCTGCCCACCGTGAGCCCCCCAGGAGGCCGGGGTACCGCGCAGGGAGGAGCGCAGCAGAGAGCTGAAACGCATGGAGAGCATCAGGACGGGGCTTCAGGCCAACGCGCAGCCCAGGAATCAGCATCCAGAGTTGTGTACAGACGGACATGGATGCACTGGGAAGGGGCTGGGCTCCATGGGGGGCACCAGCTGAACATACCCTAACGGCCAAGGGGAGCACATCCACCACCTGCTGCATGGCATGCAGAGGGTCAGAGATGTTTCCTGCCCCTTTCCAACCCTGTGAGGGATGAGCACAGCCCTGCTGCCACACCGTGCTCAATGCATTTCCCCTCACTTCTGTTCGTGGGGGCCCTTAGGAAGCCCCACTCCCCCTTCCCTGTACAGCTGTGCTTTAGGTCCTTCTCCTCCCTTCTCTGCCATGCTCTGCCTCCTCATCTCCTGCCTCCCGTCCATGCGTGCACAGACACTTGTACCTCATCTGCAAACACCTCTATTGATCTCGTTCCAGATAGAAGAGTGGTGACTTTGTGAAGAGCGCTCGATTTATGGGCTGTCCGCAGCCCAAAGGCTCGTTCTCTTCCTGACTTCTAAATATAGCTGCTGCGGAGTGTGTGTTTAATGGAGCCGTCAAGGAGGCATCAGGGACCGAGGCTGATGGATGGAGAGGAGCGAATGCTTTGGAGAGGTGTGGAGAGGGAGGCTCTATATTTAGGGACGAGGGAGCAAACGGGCGCGGAGGTGCCAGCTCCTGGGGCACCCTGTGGGAGGAGCTGTGCCAGCAGGGAAATGGGAACAGAGAACACAGAACGCTGGAAAACTACAGCCTGGCACCCAGCAGGAGCGCGTGGACGGATGCAGGCTGTGCTCAAGCTGCTCCGCAGACCACCTGTAAAGTGCCTTTGTAAAGTTTTCAGAATCATTTTTTCTAGGTAAGCCTGCCTCCTGGCACTAAATAAAAACAGAAGAATGCAAATGTCCCACGGCTGGCCAACAGAAGTCTGGATGTGCCAGAGAAAAGGTCGCAGGAGAGCAGGAGCTGTCATGCAGACAGGGCAGAGTGCTGCTGGGCCAGAGCTGATGGCACAGGAAGCTCCGTGAGTCCTCCAGGACCGGGCTGGTCCCCGTCTCAGACAGCAAACACTGGTTTACCAATGGAAAAAAAAAAAATGGATCTTTTGGAATGTGAAAAGATAACGTTTTCTTTCTACAGCCTGTTGGAGCTACGCTTCTAAGTACTGCATTTCAGCTAATTAAATGCAAGATTTATGCATCTCTGATCGTGAGTGGCAATGTCTCTTCCATCATCTGTTCGTGATCAGCTGCTCCTGTGTCACAACAGGCGCTGCAGCAGCACAAATTCTCAGAGGTGAACAGGCCAGCACAGTGTCCAACACAAACAAAGGGCTGTCCTTGCAGCCAGGGTGCCCCCAGCAAGCACCTTCCCCAGTGGCTGCACAGCAAAGCTGAGGGCTTTGGGCAGACGCCTGCACCGGAGCACCGGGTGAAGCATGACGAGTCAGATTTTGGAAAACGATCTCTTAAATCATGTAATACAGCAGCAGGAATATTGCTGCTATCAGCCAAGAGCTGCATCGAACCACTGTGAGGTCAAGGTCATCACCAACCATAAAGCCATCAAGCAGATAAGGAAGTCAGGAAGGGAGATACCAATTAGATCCTGCGCTGGTCAAAAAAGAGGATTTCAAACGGATACAATCTTTTAAATTGAAATTTTACACTAAAAGCAGTAATGTGCAAGTCACAGGAGATGCTGTCTCGGGAATGGAGGAAGCTGGGGCCTGCACTTGTGCCTACACCAGTATGCAGACGCTTCCTGTGCCAACTCACCCACCAAAAAGGCTCACAGATGCCCCAGCTCTGTTTCACCAATCCCTCACGGGAGCCCTGATTCGTTGCTTTTTGAACCATCTCACCACTCTAGAAGTGACACCACATGCAGACGATGCTCTCGGTCAGGAGAACCGGCGGGCAGCCGCCTCCTCCCGCAGCAGCCGGACCGCGAGCCTGGCAGCTCTCAGCTCTGCGTGCCAAGAGGGAGCTGTGCTGCTCCACGAGCTCCACCCATGCTGGGACTGCTGGTGCAGAATGCCAGCAAACCCAGGCTGTGGCTCCCAGCAGCGGTGCCTCCATTGGGAGCCAGCACAGAGGTCCTTGCTCCGCTGCAGCCCCGCAGGCGCCCGCTCCAAGCCCAGCGCGGCCCTCGCAGAGCTGCTGCCCATTGTGAATTGAGACCCA